GGTGTATGTCTATGTATATGCTTTGTTAGCATGTGTACTTATATGCAAATGTGTATATGTGTCTAATTATATATTCATACTGCAAGCATGTGCACACACACACAAAGACAAAACTACCGATCCTATATTTTATTAGTTTCTATTTTACACTATGTCTCCTTTGTTCACATATTGCTTAGGCTGTGTTTCTTATCCTCACCTTATGTTTTTTTCAACTCCTCTCTCTTGTTTATAAAAAGAAACACGCACACACACACACACACACACACACACACACACGTGTTGGCATGTCTATATCATCCACTTAATCTTCCAAGCAGCTCTAACAAAACAATGACACCTTGTATATTTCACTTTTCTCATAAACACTTTTATATACATTGTCAGAAGAAACAGTTTCCTTGCCATTCTGACCCCTCCCCTCCATAGATAGCACCATCTTTTCTACACAGAATGGCACATGATCTGATTCAACAAGCTAAAACACATCCTATCTAAAGCTCTGAGAAATACTCCTGATTCTTTGTAAACAAAGTTTGTTGATCCATTTCTTCCTTTATATTTTTTCATCTTTGAGAATTATATAGTTACCACTACAGAATTCCAATATTACCAGGAATTTCTTCTTTTTCTCCTTTTTTTTTTGTTTTTTTAAATGGTTTTCTATATATATTACTGAAATTGAGGTAGTGCTACTATTTACAGCGTTCGGACTGTTGACCTCATCTTTATTGCCATTTTCACAATATTTCAGCCATTGTATGCTCCAGTCTTCTTGATTGTTTCTTTATATACATGCAACATCTTTCAATGTCTACATTTAGTTTCTCTTCCATATAATAAAATAATGAAGGTGAAAATGCTCTATGAAAAAAGCAATAATAATGATAGAGTAAATTAGTTATAAAATAATAATAGTGAAAATGCTTCATCTAAAAAGCAACAATAATAAGATGGAATAAAACTAGTAATAAAATAATAATAATGAAAATGCTTCATCTAAAAAGCAACAATAATAAGATGGAATAAAACTAGTAATAAAATAATTGTTAATATATTTAAACTAAAACTAGATATAAAATAGCAAATCACCATTAACAAAATAAATTGTTGTGATTGAAATCCTCCTTAACATTCCTGGATGTGACATACATCCAAGATAAGACCCTGGCAATTGTCCAACACTTCCCTACCCACTTGAAGATGTGGCAAACAAGATCCCATTAAGTTAGACATTTTACACACAGCCAAGATTTTTGCTAAGCTCACTGGGGATAAAATTTAGTATCAGTTACTTGCATGACCAGCATTACAAACCTCTGCACTTGAAACATTTATCGAAGATGTTGAGCCCTTCATCAGGATTTTAGGAACAAAAAACTTCTTTCTTTTTTTCCTCTTTTATTTTTCTGGGAATTCTATTTTAGTAAACAAAATGTAGAGTGTGAGAATGATGGCTAAATTATGTCAAAAGACTGAAAATGATATTATTAAGGATAATAGTAAAAATACGGATAAAGTTTCTTTTAGAAAACAGATTTTAATTATAATTTGGATATATGTGATCCTTATAATGTATACATTGACTGTAGCATTAGCCATTTTGTTAAATCATTTAAGATTTTCATCCTATAAATCATTACAGTGGCTTCAGGATGTTGAAACATAATTTTAATGTAAGAGCAAATATTTTAATTTGTGATAAAAAGGAGAGATAAAAGATATATAAGAAAGAAATGGAGGAAAATAATTGAATGAAAGAAAAATGAGAATGAAAAACGCGAATGATACATGATTAAGAAAAGAGAATAAAATAAAAAATGAGTGAGAGAAATTAACAATGCTGAAAAGAAAAAGATAGGAAATATATAGGGGAAAAAGAAGAAAAATAACAGCAAGAAAGAGAATAGAAAATGCTGGAAAAAAAGGGAAATAGAAAATGAGGCAAAAAAAGAAGGCAAATGGAAAATGAGGCAAAAAAAAGAAGGCAAATGGAAAATGAGGCAAAAAAAAGAAGGCAAACGGAAAACGAGGCAAAAAAAAGAAGGCAAACGGAAAACGAGGCCAAAAAAAAGAAGGCAAACGGAAAAAACGAGGCAAAAAAGAAGGCAAACGGAAAAAACGAGGCAAAAAAAAAAAAGGCAAACGGAAAACGAGGCAAAAAAAAAAGAAGGCAAACGGAAAACGAGGCAAAAAAAAAATAAAAAACGGAAAAACGAGGCAAAAAAAAGAAGGCAAACGGAAAATGAGGCAAAAAAAGAAGGCAAACGGAAAATGAGGCAAAAAAAGAAGGCAAACGGAAAATGAGGCAAAAAAAGAAAGAAATAGAAAATGAGATAAAAAGAAATGAAATAAAAAAAAAAAATTGTGAGAATGAAAAAAATGATAGAAAGAAGGCGGCAAAAGATACAAGATGAAGAAAATAGTGAAAATAAAAGAAATAAATACTGAAAAAGAGAAGTGAACAACCAAATAAACAAACAAAAATGTAAAATATATGGGAAGGAAAACATGCTAGAAAAAAAAGCAACAAAGAGGCAAATGTACAGGAAGAAAATAAAGAAAGCAGCAAAGGAAAATATAAAATCTATAGGAAGAAAAAAAGAATAAAAATAATTGAATGGGTGAATGAATGTAAAAATAAAAAAAGGCCAAAAATAGAGAAAGTAAAAAAAGAATAAATAAGAAATCAATAATGGAAGAAAGAAATAAACAACAAAAGAAATGATCAAAAAGGCAAAGTATACGGGAAGAAGAAAAAATAATAGAATAGACAATTAAAAAAATAAAAACAAAGGCAAAACAATTTTTATACATACGTGTTTATAATGTGCACATTAACTATGCCTGTAGCTCAATGTTTCTCAATATTTTTAAGCAAAGGCACACCTTGGAGCAAATGAAAATATCACAACACACTTAGCCAAACTTTTAAAGGGTATACATTTAAAAATGTTATGAAATAAAACTAAAGATTTTTTAAAAAATACAGACACAAATAAAAACTTAGTTTATTTCAATGTTTCTAGTCAACTATTTGTGTAATGGTATGAAGTCTGTGCCTGATATTTTTTCCGTGATTTCTTCAATGTTTGGTCAAGTGTACAATAAGCAGACTCATTTCTTCTTCACGTGGCTGAGTGGTTAGAACGTTCGCATTCTGACCATAAAACTCAGGCTCGAATCTTACCATGGTCAATTTGTGAGGAAGGAGACTTCCTGATGTTATCAAACTGGTCAACCCCAGCGTGTGGCACCTTTGGAAAGTGGCTGAAGACCATACCATGGTTGAGCCAAGCCTTGTGAGTGAACTTGAATAGACAGAACCCTTGGGGGCCGCCAATAGCTTTGCTAGCATTAAATCACGTCATCATGGCCGAGGGCTTGCGCTTGCAAGTCTTGTTGAAGTTGTTGATCATGCTAAATAACACGCTCTTTCGCAGAAACTGTAACTAAGGTCTGCTCAGCATAGTTGCAGTATAAACCACAGGTGGGCTCTGTGGGTGTTGAGCAAACACAAATGCACCTGAACAAGCATCTGCAGTAGAGATTGGCTAGCCACCCTAGTAGATAGGTATCCTCAAATACAAGTGGCCAGCTATACATTTCTTCTTCAGTTAAATGTAGTCTGTCTCACTTCTTATTTTTAATGTTATTTAGGGTTGAGAAGTCTAATTCACATAAATAAGAAGTAGAAAAATGCAACAAAATGGATGAAGCCTTTTTAGCTAATGTGGGATAAAAAGTTTATTACTTATTCATTTATTCAAATACTAACACAGTATCATTAATACTTACACACACACACACATAAGACACACACAAGTTCTATGTATGTTTTGGCAATGTTTTATTAATTTTAGTGTGATTGAGAATCCTTATATCCATGATTGCAGAACATAATTTTAATTTAGGTAATATTTCAATGTGTGATGAAAAGAAGCAGCAATATATATATAAGAAAGAACTGAAGGAAAATGATAGAAAAATCACACAGACATGAGGCAAACAATACATTATGAAAAAAAAAAAATAAAAAATAAAAATGATGAAAAAAAATTTTATAAAACCAAGGTACCAAATATATATATATATATATATATATATATATAAAAAAGTGAACATAAATATACACTTTATATCTGCGACAGTCTGTTTCATGCTAGATGTAATCAGTCAGGCACTCATGGCATGGTTTTTGATCTAAAAAAAACATGAAATTACTCTATGCTATAATTTCACTATCTATGCATTATTATTATTGACTATTATCTATAAATATAGCACATCTTAAAAGTATATTTCTTCATACATATTTATATATATATATATATATATATATATAAAATTGAAAAAAAACGCACCCTAATAGGAAGATAATGGCTCTCCACAATTTCCTGTCCTTTCTAACACTTAATAAATTCTGTCCTTTTGTTATTCCTCATAAACTTTGTATTAATTTTATTAAATAAAAAAAGGTAGCAAAATATTTCATTTCCCCCGCCTCTCTTGCCTTCAGCCTGTCCTGTGGGTATCAAATTTTCTAAGCCCACTTTCCTCATTATTTACCCTAGAAATGCCATCTATCGCTTTCATATTGTAAATATAAGTGCCCTTTTCACATGTTCCGTTCATAGTATTCTCAGTATCCTTCTGTAGAACCACATTTCTTTGGCATCAATTCTCTTCATCTTTTGAGATTGTCTAGCATTAAGAGTATTGATATTATGTAACAGTTCAACACACTTTTCTTTGTTTCTAATAAAATGATTTTGTTTCTTAATTTGCTTAGTTTTTGGAAAATATCTTTTGCTATCCCAATGCACCTTTGTATTTCAAACAATGCACTTTCTGTCCTTTCTTAAAATGCTTCCCAGATATTTCAATTACTGTATTTGTTTGATTTTGGTAACTCCAATTTTTAATTTGTATGTTGGGTTGTTCCTTTTGCTTTTAAATAGTAATGTTGCTAAATTGAGCATAAATTAAATCCTTTAAGTTTAAGCAGTCATCAGGTCTTTGATAAGAGTTAAGATGCTTTCAGTTTTATTAAGGTTTTGAGCAGGTGTTGGGTGGTGTGACATGATTTTGAGGTTAATAAAGTCTGACTGCAGAAAGGACAATGAAAACACTCATTGGTGTAAATGAAAACAGACAAATATATTTAGCACTTGGCATAAGATAAGTTAAATGTCTTTGTTGTCAGCTCGAGGCTCAAAGAATATAACTAATAAATCAGTGAGCTGAACTTCATTTTTTTTTTTTTTTTTAAGCATTTCACAATGTTAAATGGAGAAAACACTAGAACCAAAGGGGTTACAGAGGATTTGGAGTGAGATCAGATAGGATATTGATAGAGGAAAAGGATGAGGAGAAGGATAATGGATAGATCAAGGCAACTGGAGATGTCAATTGACATTACAAATTTTTTTTAGTTGGAGATTTATATCTATCAGGAAAAGGGAAGGGAATTCCACAGGTGAGAGGTGCGAGATATGAAGCTATTGGAGTAGAAAAGATGGCTACATTTAACAGTTTCAACAGTGAAAGGGTGGGAGCGAGATGTCAGCCTCGTAAAACGCTTGAATTCATAAAAAGCAGCTCATCGGAGCAATTACCATGAAAATATTTGTATGTATTGTGGTATTATATAAAGGCAAGTGCATGAAGATACCAAGCAAAAAAAAAACATCAATTTTCTTTATTATAATGTTCAATGTTTGAAATGAAAAAATGTCTTTTTCACGAGAAGGAAACTAGGAATTAGGATAAGTTGAATGTTTTTGCTTGTGAAAAGTGCATAATGGCATCTGAAATCTCTCTGACTCAAGCGCCTCCTTATCGAACTCTCTGCGTTAAATTCAGAGGAACCAGGACGAGCTTTGCCAAATTAGGGCAAGTTTAAATCCTCTGAGGTAGACAGGGCCTGAACCCGTCTAATCGGCTTCAAAGGCTATTTTTTTGGCCGAGCCTACGTGCTCAGAGAAACCCACAATAAAACCGGCCTTGTGCCATATTCGTTTCTCGTGGGTGAAATGATAAATACCGAAAAGTGCATAATGGAAAGCCGTCTTCTCTTCGGATTTATTCAACCTATAAGGTGAAGCGATTTTGAGAGAATTAGAAGCCCTACCAGGATTCATTATTAACAGGCACAATCTTAACATAAGATATGCAGATGACAACGTGTTGATAGCAGGCACAGAAAGGAAGCAACAACTACTACGAAAAGTAATGATGGAATGAGAGAAGAAAGGACTAAACTTCAAATGCAAGATAGAATGTATGGCTGTTAGCAAAAGGAACAGCCCAACATACAAATTACAAATTGGCAATACCAATGTCAAAAAGTACAATTTAAATATCTGGAAAGTGTTTTAACAGAGGAAAGAAAATGTGAAAATGAAATCTAAAAGGCATATTGGCATAAAGAAAGATGCCTTTTAAAAGCTAAGCAAAATATTAACAAAGAGTACTGAACTGTTGCATAATATCAGTCCTTGTATATGGCAGTGAATGCTGGACAATCACCATGCAGATGAAGAAGAGACTTGAAGTAACAGAAATTTGTTTCTACAGAAGGATGCTGAGAATATCATGGAATGAACTTGTGAACTATGACGTAGTTTTAGAGGCAATGGAAATGAAAAAGACACTTATATTTAGCATCAGGAAAAGGTAGTTGAAATCTATAGGGCCCCTAATGGGGATAGTAGGCTTGGAAAATTTTATACTCACAGGATAGACCAAAGACAAGTGGAACAAAGGAAAACTGCATAACCTCCCTGGAGAGCTTGAGTAAATCAATGGCAGAACAAGGTTTAGGATAGATAGCAAAAGGACAAAATTTATTAAGAGTTACAAAGGACAGGAAATTGGGGAGAGCTATTATCACCTACATCCTGAAGGGATATGGCACATAGAAGTAGTAGTAATTAAACATGCAGTGAAACTAGATATAAAGATTGTGTTCCCATCTTTATAATGGGATGTGGTTGCCAAAATTGTCCTCATCTTTAACTGTTACTTACATTATTTATACTGTTATCCTCATTTTCATTGCCATATTCACAACGTTTCAGCCATTGTACGCTCCACCCTTCTTCAGGTGATTGGAATTTTGCACCATGTGCCACGCCTCTTTCGAATGTCTCAACTATTTCCCTTTAACTCAACTCTCCAAGTTTGGTTCACCACTGCTGTGGCCTGATATTGAACTCACAACTCTTTGGGTCTAGTCACTGGATTTAACTAACATCTTTATCCACTGGGCCATGCGTCCTTGAGGACATCTGTGTGGTGGTTCAAAATTCCAATCACCTGAAGAAGGCCGGAGCGTACAACAGCCGAAACGTTGTGAATATGGCAATGAAGATGAGGATAAGTCTGAATAATGTAAATAATATAAGAAATCATGATACCTCATCTCAGAGATATAGACAGATCTTTGTGTTTGAACATGAATTTCTGATGCAATGTGCAAAAATATAACAATCTACGTCATGAGGCAGTGTTAAATTGTTATCAACATTAGGAGAGAGCAAGGACAGTTATACTTAACATCAGGAAGAGACAGTTGAAATTTCTAGGGCACATAATGAGGAAAGAGGGCTTGGAAAACTTTATACTCACAGGATAAATTGAAGGCAAGAGGGATAGAGGAAAATAATGCATAACATACCTAGTGAGCTTGAGTAAGTGAATGACGAAACAAGGTTTAGGAATGATGCTAAAAAGGCTTAAATTTATAAAGAGCATACAAAGGACAGGAAATTGGGGAGGGCCATGATCGACCACATCCCGAAGGTAACAATGCA